ATTTTCTCCTGTATCTAAATCTTCAGCCCTTTCCAAAGGAAACCGTGTCTTTGTTGGAATGTGCTCAGATATTTCAAAAAGGAACTCGGTTTTAGAGAATTTGGGAATGTTATCATTCACATCTTCTATCTGAACTTCAGTTCTGAATACTTGCAATGGATTTTCTAGCACAATTTCAGAGAACAGAATACAAGGGTCATTCTGACCACACAGAGCCTCTCGGTCTATTGTATCCTTTAATATGAGGTTCCCAGAATGAGGATCCAGCTGGAAATACTCTTTAGAGCCCTTAGGAACTAGCTTGGCTTTCCTAGCAGACAATTCCTTTACATCTATTTTCAAGTCTTTCAGCACATTAGCTACTGGAAACCCGGTTTTCTTTTCTTCAGGCACTGAATAACGCAAAGACTCACACATTTCTAGACACATATGTAGATACAGAAAAAAAGCCAAAACTTGCCTTTGAATGCAACCTTTTTCCATTGTCCCAGGATCACCTTAATGCAGAATGGAAACACAAGATTCACTGTCCACAGTTAATTCTCCCAAGATAAACCTTTATCTTATCCAACCACTGGATGTGTTTTTGTCTCCAGATTTCTTAAGATCTGCTTTTCATAAAGCTCTGCTGCCTTTCCCTTTGAGGTATGTGTGCATAATAATGACTTACTTGTCCAGGCCTCCAGAACAGCAGTTGGTCTTTGGATATTGTTCTGGGTTATGCAACAGCACCACCTTGTGCTGCATTTGTGAAAATCTTCTGTAGTAAAAGGTAAACTGTACATTTGTATATACCTCTGTTATACATACTTGCTTAACCTTCTTTGAAAACGCAAGACACTTTTCTGATTCTCTTTCATTTATTGTGGTGATACTAGAGTTTTTCAGAGCTAGAAACGTAACCTTAAAATGAGAAACTTCATCATTTTCTGGGATGCTGGAACTTGATTATTCTGGTAAGCTTATAGTTACTAGGCCACTAAAACCTCGGCAAGTTATTTTAATTATAGCTATTGGTTATTTGGTGTTTTACTTCTTTAAGAGGCAAGTTAATAGGACTGCCAAAAGCAGAAGCCTGAATTACTTTTCTCTTTCTCTTTCCTGTGCAGTACTGGATACTCTGAAGCAACATCACCTTAGTCACCATTTGGTAACTTTATGGGACTTATCTAGAACCAGAAGATGGGAATCTGCCTTGTACTGAGCATGATTAGAACTGCCAGCTTTCTTGAGTACATTTGGGAAGAAAAGGCAGAATCTATTAAATATTAATTAAATATTAATGTGGTAATTAATAGAAATAACATTTCCTTATTCAATTATGTAACACTGCTAAATTTAGCTTCCTGACTACCCCGGACTCTGCTCTCTAGGCATGACACAAGATTTGGTTATATTCGCTGCAGAGTTCTTCAGAATACAGGAGAAAGTGCTAATTTCTGCGCAGCCTTGGGTCATGTTGCCTCAGCAGCAAAGGCTTCTCTAACAGTTGAGTGCCCTCCCAAGTGGAAGCAAACAGGAAAATGAGCCACTTTGTATAACACCACTGTTAACTACACCATAGATTCCTTCAAATCCTCAATCAATTGTGGTGCTAGTACAATCAGCTTCACTCATAAAATACATACACTGTATTTTCCTAATAACAAAACTAAACAACATACTCAGACTGGATAACAGAACTAGATTACTCCGCAAAGTTATATAATGCATCACTGTTTTTTCCTCCCCTGTTTAAGATTAAGAATCTAGTATAACATACTCTCAGCTACCAAGCTATTTATCATAATGACAGAATACCAGATGCATTAATAGGAAAATTTCCTATATTTTTAAGCTTAGAAAGAAAAGCCACTGCTATGTAAAAGTAATATACTGTATGAGTTGGGAATATTACAAACTCCTGTTTTATTTTTGTTTTGGGGTAGATACCTTGAAAGCCTGAAATTAACTTCCTGCCATAGAAAATTTAAATTACGAATTAACTGGGCACCTCCTTCTCCAGTCAGTGTGTATGTCAATCATTACCAGCACTGATCATTCATTGGTTAAAACATAGAAAATCTAGAATAGGCCTTTCTTACAGAAAGGATAGAAAAGTGACTTCCCAATTTTCCTTAGTGTATATCTCATCTTCTAATCGGGTTAGTGGTCAGCTCTTGTTAAAATGAAAACTGGGAATTAGAGGATTATAGCTTGCCTTACTGGCTTCTCTTGTGGATGTCCTGTTGAGCATAATCTCTGAGGTGAAACTGACTTTGGAAAGTTTCACTTAAACTGTACTCTTGACTATGCAGCTGAGCAGGATTGAAGGTCAGTGAGAAGGTGCACCCTCTGTCTCCCAGGAAGAACATGTCAAGGTTGTAGCATGCTGGGCTTAGTAATTTAGCAGAGAAAAACATCTTCAGGTATGTTCCTCTTCTCTTCCTCTCTCCCTTCCAGAAAAAAATGGCTGTTTTCCTCAGACAACAGAAAACATATCTGGGCCTATGCCATTAAGCAGAGGCTGAGAGGAAGCCATCTTGGCAAGTCTGGCCCCCACCTATCATCCACCAATCAACCAGAGCATAGTGGGTTGCTGGGTTGTGTGTAAGAACTTCTTTGGTGTGGTTTAATATATCTTTGAGATTAATTTGATTGTAAAATCAGTTTATGTGTTTGCAGTGTTGGACTAGGCCTGGGGACATGCAGGTTCAAGTTTCTGCTCAACTATGGAGCCCAGTGGGAGACTAGGCCAATCCCTCTGCTGGGCCTAACTCAAGACAGTGGTTGTGAGGATAACCTAAGGCAGTGTTGTCCAAACTTGGTCACTTTAAGATGAGTGGACTTCAACTCCCAGAAT